CCCCAAAACCCCAAAACCCCAAAACCCCATTTTTAGAAAAGATTAGCAATTTTATAATATTAAATTATTCTGATCTAATACAAATGGAGAAAGACACTTATATATCTTCATCTGATCCAAGCAGGCAGGATTATGAAGATCAGTTTTACTCTGAAGAACCCGACTCCAGCAGCCGCTGGGAAGGAGCGCTCTCAGATCCTGATCTTCCCATTGCAGATGACGATGGAGACAACTTTGTCTATGAGTTTTGCACAAACTATGAAGAAAAACTTCCCGTCTATTTCGATGAGAACCAAGTAAATAAGGACAAAAAGTCTAAAAGATGTTCTCTTTGCTCAGTAAAATTCCAAATGCTGGGTCCTAAGCGCGAGAACTGCAGAAAGTGAGGAGCTGCTGTTTGTAAAAACTGCTCACAAGGTCGCCTCAAGCTCTCTCAGACTTCAAAGAAAGAGGTAATCCATTGCTTCAAATGTGAGATTGAGGTGACTAACTTTGATCTCATTGATAGCTACAAGAAGTTTGTCAACGAAAAGCGAGAAGAAAGGAGCAAAATTGAAAAACTAATCAAAGAGAAACGTAAGAAAATCGAACAGAAAAAACAGGAAATCAATAGCAAATAAACAGAAATACAGTAAAGAGAGCGTAGACTTTGACATTGAGTATGAGAAATAAGGAAGTCAAGATCAATGAGCTTCAGACAAAGCTCAAAACACTCAAAGATGAGAGCAAGAAGAAAGACATCGAAATCACTAGAGTCAATGAAAACAATCAGACTCTGAAAGACCAAATTGAGATAGCGAAGAGAAGGATGCAAGAGCTCAAGGAACAGCATAGGAAGATTAAGGCTGAAAAGGATCAGAAAGATGAGGAATTCAAGAAATTGCAAGAGGAGAAGGATGAACTTGATAGAGCAGGGTAATAAAATTAATACTAATCATGATAACAATATTAATATCAATATCTATACTCGATCTAGGGGTTTTGGGGTTTTGGGGTTTTGGGG